AGATATTTTAAATAAAATACAGAATATAATATATTCAATAGAAGGAAAATTAAAATCTTTGGGATTAGGTGAAAAAGGTGTCACAACATACTTTTCTGCTAATTGTACAGATAAAGATGCAGAATTAATTAATGAGTTTATGCAAAGTAAAGGGCTAGAGTCTTATAATACAAGATGTTTTAAAACAGCGAATAAAGGAAATGAGAATACGGATGTGTATGAAATCAGATTAGCTTCTGTGAAGACTGATAATGATCCTAATATTACACTGTCAGAAGAAGTATTTAAAAATGCTAAATTTAAAATCACAAGAGGAGATTACAGCAAACTTTTAATTTCAGTTGTTGATAATCTTCAAAAAGCAAAGGAGTATGCTGTAAATGAAATTGAGAAAAATATGTTAAATAAGTATATAGAACACTTTGAATCAGGATCTTTACAAGATCATAAGGATGGTTCTCGCTTTTGGATCAAGGATAAAGGACCAATTATAGAAACATATATTGGTTTCATTGAAAATTATAGAGATCCAGCAGGGCAAAGAGGAGAATTTGAAGGGTTTGTGGCCATGGTAAATAAGGAAATGTCAAAAAAATTTGCTACATTAGTGAGCAGTGCAGAAAAGTTTATATCAAGACTCCCTTGGGGGAAAGATTTTGAGAAAGATGAATTTCTAAGGCCTGACTTTACTTCATTGAATGTTCTAACATTCTCAGGATCTGGTATTCCTTCAGGTATAAATATTCCAAATTACGACGAGATTAGGCAATCAGAAGGATTTAAGAATGTTTCCCTGGGTAATGTAATTCCTGCAAATATGAAATTAGAAGTGATACCATTTTTATCTGAACATGACCAAACTTTAATGAATACTTATAGAATAGATAGCTTTGAAGTGCAAGTTGGTTTGCATGAACTTCTTGGTCATGGAACAGGTAAACTATTGTGGAAATCAGAATCTGGTTCACATAATTTTAATATTGGAGAAGTAAAAAATCCTTTGACTGGAGAATTAGTAAATAAATTTTTCTTACCGGGTGAAACATATGATTCAAAGTTTGGCCCAATGGGATCTTCTTATGAAGAATGTAGAGCAGAAGCAGTTGGTTTATATTTATGCTTAGAAAAGGATGTACTGCGCATATTTGGACATGAGGATTCTAAGGCAGATGATTTAATATATGTGAATTGGTTATCTTTATTATGGACTGGCTGTGCAAAAGCTTTAGAAATGTATCAGCCATCAACTAAGAAATGGTTACAAGCTCATTGTCAAGCAAGATATGTTTTACTTAGAGTTTGTTTGGAAGCTGGCAATGATTTTGTTAATGTTATAGAATCCGAGCCTGGAAAGAATCTGTTATTAACGATTAATAGGGATAAAATTTTAACAATTGGTAAACAAGCAATTAGAGATTTCTTAATTAAATTACAAGTTTATAAAAGTACAGGTGATATTGAAGCAGCCAGGGAAATGTACGAAAGATATAGTGAAGTACCTGAAACAGGACCACATCCATGGGCACGTTGGAGGGATATAATTTTAGCCCATAAAGAACCTCGAAAAATATTTGTACAGGCAAATACATTTGTAAATGGTTCGTATTTAAGTAATTATGTATATTTCTAGTGAAAGTTGGCAATTATACTAATTTAATCATTACAGGAACAGGTGAAAATGAAGTACAACTGAAAAATTATGAAGCCAATTTTGCTGGATTGATTCAGTCTTGGATAGAAAGGTTTCCTTCTGCAGATACTTCACAAACTCTGATTGAACTTTGGGAAAATGATAAACAACATTTTCCTCTTGAAAATCATTAACTATTTAATACAAATATTAGCTAAAATATATTGTTATATTATTTTTTGATTTTTGTACATCGCAACGTTTACATATGTCTGTATGTATGTATGTATGTATATGTGGATAAAAAGCATACATAATATTATAAAATATTACTTTAATCATTTATCAATTAATTTTTTGGAATTCATTTTATTTTAAATCACTTTATGTACTTTGAATATGTAAGTTAAGTAGTTATACCCTAAACTAAAATGTATTTACACAATTTATCAAAAAATATAAACAAAAAATATGATCAACTATAGAATTTGGTACATTTTAATACGCGGTCTATTTTGTACATTACATGCAGCAGTGGAAGTACTGCGCATGTCATTGATTTGTCGAATTGGCGGGAAAAACCTGAAGAACGTAGTTGACGCTGCAAAATGGTGTCGGAAGAGTCGTTAATTTTGTGCTTCTCCAATTTAGGTTGTGATGTGTCAGATAAATCTGTGGTTGATAAATGTAAGTTGTTCATTCATCTATAATTTAAAATTAACATTTTTATTCCTAACCTATACCAATTTCTTAATTAATTGTTGATGAGAAACTGTAAAAGATAAATCTTAACTTTTATCAGAGGTAAATTCAAAGTTTCTAAACTTATTTCTTATGCTTACGGAATGTTAACGTTTTTTATAGTATTTCATATCTTTTTATAAATACAATACTTACTAAACAATGTTAATAATATTTATCTATTTTTTTGTAACCTTATCCTAAAGCATATTGTATTTTACATATACAATATTTGTATTGTAACAAAATCTATGTACCTATTTAGAATTTTACATGAGATATTTAATATTTATATATATTTTCACTATATGTGTCTATGTGTGTTTTGTCTTTATTTAATTCATCTTTCAAGAAGATATTTTTAAATAGGTCTTCAACTTTGTCATACTTATGACATAGATGAAGAGACTTTTATGGAATTGTGGGTGGCATATACAGTTCCACATTCTTTAGATATTGATCCAACAATAGATGATCTTAATAAATTTGAAGTAGAAGAATTGAAAAAAAAGAATGAAAATCCTCTTGATCATGCATATACAATATCAAATATAAAAACTAATATACAAGTCAATCAGGAAATCTTGTATCCTTTCATATATGTTTTTATTAAAATCAAACTTAAATTTTTTAAATTATTTTTACATATTATCCTTACATACATTTGTTATGTATCAATAGTGATAATGTTTTGGACCTATATAGCACTGGAGAATCTTCTACATTACAGGTAAGTTTTCATTTTATTTATGAACTACCTTTTGTACATTTTCCTTTCACATTTTCTAAATTTTATTTTATTATAACAGTGGCAATAGATATATCAATGAACAGACACAAATTAACATTTATCCCTAGAAAATATTTTGTTTAATTATATATTTTTACTTGTGAAATACAATCTTTTGTAAAAAAGTGAAAAAATTATTTTTAAAAATACGTTTAATTTTATGAGTCAAATTCACGGTAAGACTGTATTTTTCGGCTAAGTGTACCCATTGTCGAACTTAAAGCGGGTTATTTTGATGTTTTCAAAAGCTGCTCGTTCTCCTTATTCTTTCTTTCAAGAGGGAAGGTCCCTACCCCTGTAATGGTCTTTCGACATTGTTGCCAGATTTATGAAACTATTCATAAGTAGCATATCTGAAACTGTTACGTATAAATGAATTTTTTCGTAAAAGTATATTCATCATTTACAATATTTTATTCTTATTATGTTTTAATATTTTCATAAAACTATTTGTATGTTAATGAAAATGCTTCGTTTCTTTAGAAAATTTCTATTTCGTATTATTATTATGATAGAGAATCAACAATCATACTAAATAAACTATAATTACAAGTATGATACATTACATAAGATATACTGGACTTTGTTAAACTAATAATTTCAAAATGTAGGTTTCATAAATATACACGTATGAATGGAGGAACATTTCATAGTGTTATGAAAAATCTTTTGATAATTCTAATACAGTAGAAATTGCAACAAATGCTTCTCAAATTTTATAGTTTCTGGAAAAACTTGTTGTATTACGTCGTTGAAACGATACACTTATCGAACCTCAACCTTGGCATTGCAGTGATTTACGTCGCTTTGGCAACACTGTCTCACATTCTTTATGGTCGATCTATGGTCTATAGTAGCAATGACGTAAGGTTTCTACCTGAGGATCTTATTCTTCCTAAAGTGTTCGGAATTGTATTTAGCAAAGTTGTAAAAGAGATAGAAAAAATGTTATTTTTATTCTTTCACTCGTTAATAAACCGTTTAATACATTCGTTAGTTTGCTATTTTTAATGATATTAAAGGTAGATATATAAAAAATAACTTTCCATTTAAATAACTTTTAGAGACATATTGTGTTGTTTTTATTGTTGTAATTTAAATTGTTTATTGGCAAAAAATTAATTACTTTTTGTTAAAAACTTCGCACAATTTCTGCAATAAAAAAAAAACAGAATTCTAAATATTGTTAAGCTATTTTTCTGGAACTTTTATTTAAAAAATTGTGATCTTTTTTCACGATTCGAACTTACTAGATGCAGATTTACTTTGATCTGAATCTAAAAAAATACGTTGCAAGCAAGGAATTCATATGTACTTTGTTACTTGAATAAAATTTAGCGATAGTTATATTTCAGTTCTTTGAATTTTTTCTTTTAAAGGAAATATATTTCTTTATTGTAAATAATAAAAAATTGTACAAGATTACAATATTGTAAATAACAAATCGTAACATATGTTAAAGAAAATATATGTTATACATTACGCTTGCTATCGATGTTAAATGTTTATAATACGAGAGAAATTTCTGATGCTATTTCCCAACAGGTGGTTTCTTATCCCGAAGTGAAGCGCTGTTGTAGGATCTTGTCGAAACACCATAATTCCCGCCACAAAAATCGTCCAGGTAGATCGCCGCCATTATCCCCTCTCGTTTCTTTCCCAGTCTCCCACAAAGGACACTCTTCCATGGAGGGGAATGTTGGATTCATTCCTATTGGTAGAAAAAGGACAGTGTGCCTTCTTGTATAGTGTAGTGAGGGGTTCTCCTTCCATCTAAGAGACCTGACCAGATTTCTTCAAAGGGTACGATTTCAGTTTTCAAGGACCCAGACTCCATTATCATCCTGATGCGCGCGTGCTTATAGATTTTCTGAACATAGCGTTGTTTCTCTTTCGTGTACTTTTTATACTTCGAGTTACATATTGAAAGTCATGGATAATAGTTTGCTATGTAATGGTTCCGTTTGTGTACGAGGGAATTATAGTTGGTATTTTTGAAAAATCGTTAGATACGATCAAATATCTCGATGGCGTCGAATCGAGACGCCACCGACTGCCTGTCAGCGCGTCACGCGGAATCGGAGTGTATTATATTCAGTGATTTGCCGGCTGGTTGTGGATTTTACAGTCTGTACATATAAGCTGAAAATTGTGTGTAAATTTTTCTGTTGTGTAGTAGCAAGTAGTTTGTGCTAAAATAGTATTGTACGAGAGAGTGTACAATGTGCATAACATGTTGAAACGGTCGAGCAAAGCGTCAGCCATTATGGAATTCGATTTGAGTGAATTTCATACTCGAAAGTCATTCCGCCAATCGTGTAACGTTTCACGTCACAACGACCTGTTGCTATTCCTACTGCCGCTACTGTTCCTGTTATTGTTCGTTCAGTTTTTATTCACTTTTCCTATTATTCCGTATGATACAGTTCTACGTTTATTGTGCAGTCGTGCCAGATTGACTTCATAGGAACGGAGAAGTTGCTTGTATGCGTGTAAAAAGTTGCTTATTCATATGAAAACTTATCATCAGATGTTGTTACAAGAAATATGCGATAAATGTATTTGCTAACATTAGGAAGGTTTACGGATAACCTTGCTCACATTGATACACATGCCTGCATACATACGTGTTGTATGAAATGAAAATAGTATTGTGTACAGAAAAGAGAAAAAAGATCGATTCGTAGATGTGTGTGTGCACGCGGATGTCGTCGACCGTTCGTTTGTCGAGTTCTGAGCGTCGCGTCGCTACAACCTGTTGCTGCGACTATGTCGCATGCTTCTTTGGATGTCGCTCCTTTCTTTTGAGCCTTTCTATATCTTCCGAATCTTTTACGAAAACATGGTTTCTCTGACTAGTGAGTAAAGCTAACACACGGTAACTTTTCAAATTTAATATTTTGTATCTTCGTATTGTGCGTAATTTCTATTTGTAATATTCTGTGTACACATACATATTCATATATGCGCGCGCGCGCAGGCCTCAGTACCTTTATACGTTATACAGTTCTCGCAAAGATGTATACGATAGATTTAATTTGTGATATAGATGTTTTTATCGAATATAACCAAATTTGTTAGAAATTTTTCTTGAAAAATATAATATATAATCGTTCTTGTAATTACGCGCTACACGTGCTTCAACAGAAGAGATTCGCGTAAACAGATAATCAGTCCGATTGGTACGGTTTGTAGCTACATGTAAATTACAATAGAATTTTAGCTTTCTTAAGCGGTACTTGGTTGAAAGATCGGTTCCTTAGGGAGTTACTCGCGTCTACCAATTAAGTACAATTGACCAACAACTGACAGAGTCCGATCTCCTTCCTCTCTTTGCTCCAATTTCTCACTCCTAGACGTTCTTTCTGGCACATGCGAATTAAGTGAGAAATTCGGAATTTCTATGAAGAAAAAAAAAGATATTCGGATATTTCTATAGAAAAGTGAATGAAATACCAACGGTTCTTGTGGCGTGCTACAACTGTATCTGGTAAAAGCACCATGTTATTTCCCACGGTATCTCTGTGAACAGTGGGGCGAAAGATTGCCAGGGGCGGATAGTTTGTGGAGAGAGGGATAGAAGGAGAAATAGTCTTCTGACTCTGTGTGTATTCGTCAGAGAAGAGGGGGAAGGAGGACAGCTCGGTGATCGACCTAAAGTTTTACATGATCTGGTACAGCAAGTATC